GTTCGGAAGTTCATTTCGAAGTTCGGAAGTTCGTTTCGAAGTTCCCGCCCAACTTCCGAACTTCGAAACGTAATTGGGAACTTGGGAACGAACTTCGCAACCGCGTCTTGAAAAGTGAACTGAAATCGACGATAAGAATTCCAAGGTAAGTTTCGTTCTTGAGATTCACCATAGATTTGGGAAAAATTGACGAGCATATGTGCATTGATTTATTTAGGTAAGATGTTGAAGTATTTTACTACTTTAAACGGCCCACAAATAGTAGACAGAAAACACCCGTACCCGTTTATCTTTTACGTGTAGACCATGGTTTACCACGGGGAAACGGGTATAGAAATTACGGGTAAACATGCTGACATCAGCAAAAATTATTTTAAAAAATGGCGATACTCGGTACGACGGTACCCATAAAACGGAACCGGGGTGTCTTAACCTCTGCATTACTTCTCACACGAATTTGTATTTAAAGAGAAATTCAAGGCGATGGTTGAGTTAATTTATGGGCGTTCATCACCGTTGTATCAAGACAACGATACAGCGCTAGTTTCCTTTGTGTTTTGCTTGTGAATTATTAAATGAGTTTGATTGAATTATTAAATGAGTTAGAGAAATGTATGTTTCGAACTAAGATCAAGGCCATCATTACAAAGGCTCAAGATCCAATTGGAGAAACACATTGCTCTTCCATATCACTTCAGTAAAACTGATCATTGAGGGAAATCAGTTTTGCGTAAAAATTACGATATGGAGTAGGGATTATGAGTTACGGTTAAAATATGAGCGGCATTTGTTATCAGTTGCGAATTGTAACTTGTAAAATGAATTTATTTATTCACTTTATTAGTATTCACTGGCCATAGTGACAATCCATAGATATAATAGGTCTAATATTTCTATGTGAGAATCTCACGCTTCACTATAGCACGCATTGACAGCATAAATCTAGTGATGCGTGCGTTTTGATTATAATAAATCGTCCCTGCTTCTGAATTAGTAGTGGCATAACTTTCATAAACATCCCTCTAACACGACTTTCTGATCTATGCTGCGATTTACAAGTGTGAACACGTGACCAAAATACCGCGTCGTGATTTTTTGTAGCCTTATTAATTATTCATCATGGTTCAGATCTGTTGAAAGGTTCTTACACAAACCAATGTACCACCTACATCTATAAGGTAATCGATCCAAGACTAACCTGCCTCGCTTTGGCACGGTGTATTTTTTGAGAATATCCATAGCCCCATTGTTTATCTAGAACAATAGTAAAAAATAAATATTCATTGTGTTTTCATTGTTTTGGAAATCCCACTGTTCTCCATGCCATACAGTCACTCATTGTTTTGGATTGTACTCGCATTATGCAAAGGGTCATACAAATTTATAAATCACAGTCTCCTACCGTTTTCTTCCCCTTGCCATCTGGGTACACATAGAATCCTTTGCCAGATTTTCGTCCTAAACGTGAGAAAACATAAAATTTGAGTAGTTCGAACGACGAACATATAGCCAAGCAGATAAATAACTTAGGTCTCATTTAATACATAAGACCGGGTGATTCCATTCCACAAGCTAGAACAAACCAACTATCTTCGGACCTGTTAGTAGGAGCCCGGTTGGCCGGGAAACTCATCCTTCGTGCTATTTTGATGCTCTTTGAAAACCTAACTCGTGCATGTGTTATCCAAATTGCACTCGAAACCATCCTATTATTATAAGTAATAGCATAGAAAGAGGCGAATTAGCTATTAAAACGTCCCGCCCGATGAGGGTCATTTAATAAAATTCCCTTGGGCGCCGCTCGATGAGGGTCATTTAGTAAAATTCCCAAGGGCCGAAGGCCCGAGGGAATTTTACTAAATGACCCGAATCGAGCGGCGCCCAAGGGAATTTTACTAAACGACCCTCATCGGGCGGGACGTTTTCAATTGCTAATTCGCCTCTTTCTATGCTATTACCTTGTAA